ATATATATAGCATTTTCAGAAAACAGTTTTCTATGGGGAAAAAATTAAACAAAAATAACCCATTATTGAGTCACTTTATATCTGTAAATATTGAATGTAAAATCTTTTCTGACATCATCTGTATAATAATTGTAAGTAATTTGTACTTCTCTGTAACTACCATATATTCAGAATAAAAGAGGGAAATTTATTTTGTGAAAGTTTATTTCTGTGAAGATAAATTTTCTTTTGGGTAGTGTATGAATGACATGAGTGACCATCTTTTGTTTACACCTTTTATTTGGACTACGTGTACAATAACAAACAGAAACGTGTAGCAACTTGGTGAGAATGAGAACATCCACTACAAATTTGACATGTACTAGAACTGGATGTATTTAGTATAACCATCGGAAGCAGATAATATTGAGATAGCAGGTTAGGACAAATTGTTAGTATGTTAAGTTGGAGAGTTTTGGCTGATTTCCCTTAGCAAGTACCTAGGCCCACATTTTAGTCAAGCTTGTGTATAGTACAAGGCCAATTTATGAAGAAAATAATCTTTACCCTCAATTAAGTTCAAGGGAATTGAAAAGAAAATAGAGATTTCTCATGATCCTGATTGGGATTCCAATTTGAAAAAGCCAATGCAAAGAGTGAAATTAAGGAGTTTATAGTAACCAATGTAATTTCATCAGACTATTTTACTGTTGTCAGGACAATGAAAGATGAGTTGTGATTGGCAGCTTAGGGCAACTGCATAGTGTTTGGTACATAGTGTCTACTATATAAAATAACCGCTGCTCCAATTTCAGTTTAAAAGTATTAAAAGGGAACTCTGACAGGTGGAAATAAAAATGCTATTTAACAAGTAAGTGTAACCCCCATACAAATGGATAGTTACCAACACAAAGAAAATGTATATATATTATTATATTATAAAAAAAAGTGCCAGCTAATATGCAGTACAAATACAGAATTCAATAATGTATTGAATAATTATATACATTACACACATAATTATTAAATAATAATAATGTAAATAACACACACAGAGTACATTTTTTGAGAGACTATGCACAAAAATAGTTTTTAACTGCCGTTAATATTGTGTCCATAGTTTATCCTTCCTTATTAATTAATAATTGTAAGTGGTTGTGCAACTTTGTTCTACATAAAGAACAGCTTCTAACTACGACTATGTTTATTGACTGTAACTAACAGAAGCTCTTAAAAGGCAAGTATTTATTTTTGTATACAAAAAAGAAAATAATCAGTTCAGCTACGCTACAGCACAACGAATGTATAATTTAGGCTGAATTTTGCAATTTCAAATTTAAAAAAAAAAGGACATTTCTTTTAAAGCAAATACATTGTCATGGGGACAGAAAATGCGTTACTGTCATAGCAAAAGATGTTATTTTTAATTTTGTAAAACGATTAATTGCCAATTTGCCATTTCTGAATTTTCAGTTATTTCCTGTAATTAAAAAATGTCCTGAAGGTAATGTCTAAAATTAGCAAAAACTGTTGCAATTGTCAATTATATTAATATTAATTTATCCTCACCAGCACATCACTTTACTCGTCTACTTTTCATAATCCACTTTATTCCATAAAGAGCGCTATGTCTTAAGTGTAAACCACAGTGACCAATCAGACTTTACTCTGCTCAAGTCAGACCAGAACTAGATGATTTGTGATTGGATTCCACAGGCTACCGCGCTTAACAATTAGCACATAAGAAAGAGCACTAATGAATTGGCGCCCTTTCCTAAGCTTTTCTTTTAATTGTTGTCACACATACAAAGCTTTTTTCTTTAAATGCAAGATTCCTATGTTAAATCTTTAACGATAAAGTACATATTTTGAATTCTAGAATATGGCCATGCAAATTGATGGAAATGCTGTCAACACTTGAAAAAGCTATTGTGTTTACAGTGGAGGATTGATACTTTACTCTGCTCATATATCCTTTGTCATTTTTCTGCAAATCCAGCAACAAAAAGACAAGTGTATCTGTTAAGATCCTTGGAAATCGGCACAATCGCGTGGCAATCCTTCCATATTGCATCCCAATGCACTTGACAATTGTACGTATTAAAGTACAAAGGAATGTTTCTGCTGTAACCTTGTTCCATGTTGACCTGTTTTATATGTCACAATGCCCCTCGCACAATAGAGAATTTATATTGGGAATCTTTACAACAATGCTCTGTATTTCCCTATTAGCGATACTGCTAGGTTATGATTGCCTTATTATTAGGTGAAAATGTAGTTTTTATCTGCTTACTTGACCCCGTGTCCAAGGTGCGCGTGACAGGTTGCTCAAATAACTAAAATATATTTTATGGAGAAAAACACAGAGGAACTAAAGACAATACAAGCATTTATGTCTTTTTGTTGTGTTTTTGTACAAACTGCCCTGCTAATATAATAGGCCCTGAACCGATTGCAAAGTATTTTCTTCCATCGTTCAGAATGGTAGACTGTGAAATAATCAAATAGAGGTCTCGTCGTGAAGTACAAATGATCACCTATCACAATGTAAGCTGGTGCCTATTACAGTTGGTCGGTCACATTACTATGCAGTTAGAGCTGGGGTGTTTGTCACTCTTTTTTTTTTTTAACACAAATGCCTCCATCACAGAAAATTCAGAAACAATATTCCATGCCAATTCAGCCCATGCGTTTCCAACAAGAAAAAGTATGTGAGGAATATATCCAAATACAGTAATACCTTGGTTTACCAAGTAACTTGGTTTGAGAGCGTTTTGCAAGACAAGCAAACATTTCAGAAAAATTTTGACACACACACACAAACATTTATTATAATTATACAGGATTTATATAGCGCTAACAGTTTGCGCAGCACTTTACAAAATGGGGGGAGACAGAACAGGTACAATACAATTTCAGTATAATGGGAAGGATTAGTAGGAAGGCCCTGCTCATGAGAGCTTACAATAACAACCAGTACACTATCATAATGAGTTGCCATAAAAGATTAAAATTAGTGGCAGTGTGTAAAATTCAAATAATAACGTCAACAGACACGTATTCATACATATGACTAGTAATGAAGCACCGAATGTGTCAGATATGCTTTGGAAATCAATTAAAATGAGTTTATACATAAATATGCTTCAAAATGAAAACACAAAACTTGATAAAGTGATTTTAAACAGGACTAAACTTTGTGTTTAAAGATAAGTTCAAAATACAAAGATAAAAAAAAAACAACTAATTGAAAAAATAAACATTACATTAAAAAATGACTAATAAAAAATAGTTTCCATTATTCTCAGATGGAAAAAAATGTTAAATGAAAGAAGAAAAAAAAAACTGCACAAAGGGCAAAAATGTTTTTTTTGGTAAAAACACTGTTATGGGAATGCCGAGATTTTCAATAAAAGGTGACAGTGTGGAGCAGTAGGGATGAATTACAGAAACAAGAGGGATATTGGCGGAGGAAAATATTCTGAAATATTCCAACTGTCGTCTTTCAAGCTGCGTGAGGCTGACCTCTGTGCGCGTGATGTGACACAGTCCAAGTAATCGGTGAAAATCAGACACAGGCAGATCTCATAGATGAAGCATCGCTGTAAGCACCTATTACTGGAAATGAATAGAGGGCTATGTCAGACATTAGAATGGGATTGTTGCCTGACAGCGGTTGTAGTGTACTTCTATCTTGCACAGCGGGGAGCCGCGTTGAAATGTTTCAAAATACAGGTAAAAACAACATGATCAAAAGGCGGGGAGGGGAAAAAAAAAATCCAGCCGGCAATGATGTTGAAAGCTTCGCTTTTCAAACCTCGGATATGAATGCATCTCTCTGCTGCATTTAAGGAAATAATATTATGAAATTATAATGCTTTTCCTGTGGCTTTTTTTTTTCTCCAGAAATGTCTATGTATTTTTTTCCATGGCCTATTCTGTAAATGGTTTGCTTCTTTCATGATTTCAGTGTGCAGGCTTGGTGATAAACTCCGAAAAGAGATGATGGGAGGCAAAATGCTGTAGAGATCGGTTTAACTGCTTCACAGCAAAAGGAAGATACAACGTGGAGATGACTAGCCGGGTTTATGGCTTACTTCCAGTTAAAATAAAAATCTATTTATCTATTATCTATCTGGTCTGTCTATTGTTTTATCTAT